TAATTTATAATTAGTATAACAAGAAAATATTATATATAGAAAGTCAAGAAGTAATTAAGAAGAATAATTAAGTTTGATGAAAGAATTAACTACTGAGTTAAGAGTAGTTAATTAGTATTTTTCTTTAATAAATATATATTTTATCACATATTTTATCTTTATTTTCTTCTTGTTCTATTAAGAGAGTAATTTTATTAGAAGTAAATTATATATAAATTATCTTATTGAGAAGATAATTATATTTTATCAAAAATAAATCTTACATATATTATCTTATTAAAAAGATAATTAATTATATAATTTTTTAAAGCTATAAAAATAAATAATTATCATGAATATAGTTACTATTACTATTTTAAAATATTTATATATGTATAAACTTAAAATGATAATAATATAAAAGATAATTGAAACTTTTCTTTTAAAATAATAATAATATTCAAAAAAAATTACTTAATTCTTGATTCATAATTTAAAAATCATTATTTTAGATCAAAAAATAATTATAATATAATATATTAAATATTTTATAAAAAATTAAATACTAAATTTTATAATTTAATCACTAATATTATAATAATATTATTATTACATATATTAAAAATGACTATATTTTTTAAAGATAAAAATATAATAATATTCAAAAGTTTTATTAATATTGAATTATAATTATATTATTTACTTCTTGAAATATCAAAATATAATATTATAAGTAATAAATATTAACAAGAAAATTCATTTATTTGATAATAAAAATATACAATCACTTTATCTATATTATCAAAAATAACATGTATTTATAGAGGATTATTAAAAATTTCTAAATATAATTTTTGAAATATAATTACTATATAAAAAAATAATATTTATTATATAAATATGATTTATTTTATCTTAAAAAATATTTCTAATTCAATTTTTCTTTCTAACTTTATTTTTTTTATAAATTATAATTATAACTATAACAATAAGAAAAAATAATAAATTAATTGTAAAATAATGAGATGCTATATTTTATTTTTATAAAAATAGTAATTCATATAATTAGATTACAGAAACTATTAGATGTGACAAAATAATAATTTATAATATATTAAAAAGATATGCTAAAACTGGATGCATGAAAAACAATTTCAAAATATATAATCAAAAATTTAGTTAATAATATGCTAGTATAAATTCAGATAATAATTATAATGAAAGTTAGTCTAATTAAATACTAGTTTAATAATACAAAATATAAATTTTAATAAGTTTAAAATAAAGTTTTAATAAAGTTTTTTTGGCCAAGTTTTAAAAATTATGTATTTTATATTACATAAAAATTTATTTGAAAACTTTTAATAATTCTTTGTATATTAGAATTTCTGTCATATCAATATCAGCTAAATAACTTTTTTCAAATACTGAAAATATAATTACAAATAAGTAAAATAAATTAAATTTAAATATAATTAAATCATATAATATTTAAAAATTATAATAAAATTAAGAAACTTAATAATTATTAAAATTAATCAAATATTATTAAATTTGATAATTATCTTTTTTGAAAAAATAATATTAGCTAAGCTGGCTCAGCTCTCAAAAAAATAATAGCTTAGCCAGCTGAAAATTTTTTGTCAGCTTACAATACTAATTGTAATATAAAGCAACTAATAATAAATAACTAACATTCTATTAAAAGTTCATATCATAATAATACTTTCATTTTTAACAAGAAAATTAGCTACTGCTTTTTCAGAAAGATTAATGAAAGGCTCTATAATTGCTCCTTGTTCACTGTTATTATTGTAACTATTGGTGATGCTTACTGTTTGTCCAATATCAAATGTATTTTTTTAAACACTGCAAATGTTTTTGACTTTGACTATTTTTGAGATAAGAAAGAAGAGGAGGATAATTTTTTATCTTCAAGCCAGCCTAACATCATGGCCGAAAGAAATTATACAATGTGTTTTTCCGTAGCAAAAAAAAAAACAATTTTTTATTATAAATATTTCAAGTTTTATATGCAATATCATGTGATTGTCTGATATAACATGTAATACAAAGTTGCATCTGACGCGTCACTTAAAAAGCTCTGACGCGTCTTTGCTTATACCTTTTCGTGAATAATTAATTAAGTAGAAATACAGTATACGTAATGGACTACTGTAGAAATACAGTATACGCAATGGACTACTTTAACCAAACTGATCCGAAATGCTGGTCGCTTTTGGGATATCTCCAATGGAAGGAAATCAAACTTTGAGGACTTTACAGAGAAAACGTATGAACATAGCGTTTTTATCGATATAATCAGAAGGATTTCTTTTCAACATGGAGAAATGGTAAGGCTGATATTGAGAAGTTGGCAGGTCGTAATTTTTTTCTGAAACAAAGGCTGTTGATAAGCCAGAGATCTGAAGATTTTTGGTAGACCATGAGTTATTGTTGCTACACACTAGTGGGACCACGAAGTTGCACAGTGATGACCAAGAGTCGGTAGTGATTTATCAACAGTCTTAAAATAGCGTGACACTACTGACCATGTGTTATAGGGTGTTTCTGACCACGAGTCAAATGCTATTTCTCAAATAGTACTCAGCCTTTAGTTTATTTGTCCAAGTAAAATTGAAACACTAATCAATAATTCTTCATTTTAAGGATGAAAAAAATTCGTCGGGTGTAAATGCTTTTCGGAGAAATCGCGATAATACGGATATACTAAAGAAGAGAAAACTGTGGCAAATAGAATCTTCTGATGTGAGTAAATTTCATTGTTACAGCGACATTATTCAATCATAAAAATGTGGAAATTGACATTGTTCTTGTTATTCATAGTTGGACTATATACGCATGCGAGATCAACAACTGGAAAAACAAGTTAAGCTTATTCGAGATAATACAATCAAAGTCCAATATAGCGAGCAGACTCAAAGTCGATTTTTTGAGGTTAGCTCATTCTTTATAAAGATCATGTAATTATTTTTTGTCTTTAGTATAATAATCAAGTGAATTAATGCATCTATATCGTTTAGACAAATGCATCTGTAATGAACATTTCAAGTATTTTAAATGATACTGAAAAGTCTCATTCTACAATCGTTCCTAATGATGATAGTGTAAGTTGAGATTAAATTTGATTTTTATGTAATCTATTTTTCCCTACTAAGTAATTGTTATTTATCAGTATAAGACACCACCTCCAAGACCACGCGAAATAACCCTAACCACGCCACAAAAACTAACATTTTGTGACCAAACTATGCAATATTTGGTCAGACATTTTTCAGTAAACGTCAACAAACAATGTGTGATAATGAAAGCTGATAAGGTCGATACTTTTCCAAAAGAAATTCGTAATTGGCTTGTAGATGTACTATTGGTAGGCAAATATAACTTTATTTCAAATGTTATCGTTATGTCAAATATATTAAAAATATTTATTAATTAGTCAGAAAAAGATGCATTTGAAAATGCTATTATGAGTACGCCAAATCCTGATCATCCATTTCGGGAAGTCTGCAGAAACATCCTTTTCGATTTGTAAGTATATTACCAGAATTTTAAATATTCTTTTTGGCACAACTAATTTACCATCACAAATACAGCTTTTCCATGACTATTAAGGGACCTTTTAATCGTTATATCGGGGAACGAAAATATACAGTTGATAGAATCGTTCCTTTATTTAAAGCTATTCAATCTGTTTATCGGGAATACACATTTGATTGGATAGAAGTGCAAGCTGACTGCATCAAAGAGGCAAAAATGTTGTTTCCAGAATACGCTACATAAAGTAGACGGGATCGGTTTTAAAGTTTCTAGCAATAAAGAAATCATATTTTTCGAAGTATCAGGAGGACCGGAAAATCCTATTTTAAAGCATGTTAGAGAAGATACGGAGAAACTTATAAAAGAGGGTATGTTTGGAGACTTATTAGACAAAAAGTGCAGAAAGTGTAAGGAATATTTGTACCTACATGGTGCAATGTATTGGTAATGTAACTACTTTATTATATGCATTAGTTTCTTTTGAATAGTATAAATCTTATTTGTCATTTACTTTAGGTGATCGAATCACATTGAGTGAGCTTTGTCTTGATAAGAGACATTATTATAAGATTTCGCAAATCAAGTCAGCTATGATGCCAATTTCTTTTGAAGAAGTCGAAAAATTCATTGAAGTGTTTGAACTTTTATACGCATTGGTGGGGAGTATTTTTTATACATGTATATGCTTATGCTTTATGGATCTTGTGAGAAATTTAGTCTAATTTTTATACTTTTATTCTCAGGATGGACTTAAAAAATCAATCAAGCTCATTAAAAAAATTATGCTTTCCGATTCTATTAGTAACGGTTCCAAATACAAATTCAACTTGGGAAAATACAGAAATAATATATGAAGATTTTAATTAAGAAAATTTGAAGTATTCTAAGGATTGTTCGTAGATGTAACTCACGTGATTTTTAAACTTAATTTACACTATAAAATCAACGTTAAAAGTTTAATAATGAAATAAAATCACGTGTTAAGAATTCTTCACGCCGATAATTTCAGTTTTATTAAGCCAAGATACTTTTGCATCTAATTCTTGTAATAACAAAAAATATATATAGCAATAAAGTTTAATCAAAATTTATACGTTCCAGAAAATAAATTTTATTTATACTTCTGTTGCTTTAGCATAAAAAAATTATTAAGTTATATATTATAAATTGATTATAGGTTAAACGATTGATTAACGAAACTTATAATTTTGTATTCTTTCAATAAGAAAAATTCCATTTATCTTGACGCAATGCCGATCCCGATTAACTATTTTCGAATTTTCATACCAGCTAGTATTATGAAATCAGTGCTGGTTTCTAATGCAATTTGATATTTTTTAAAAAAGGCATCAAATTCTAATCCATTTAAGAAAGGAGGACGATACTCAATTATAGGTTCTTCGTTAAGAATTTCTTCAGCTATTTGAATGATACATATATATGACCATTTTTTATGATTAATTTTTTATATATACTTCTGAAATTTATTGGCAGTGCCAGCTCCGCTGATATATTAATTAATATCTGAATAATTTTTATCTTGGCAAAAGAATATTTCTGATTTTCCATGATTTTATTAACTAGGTTTTGCATCTGATAAAAATATTATCGAACATGCATTCCGAATTAGATTTGTTGAAAAACCGCATCGCTGAGCTTGAGGCCGAAAACGCGAAGCTTAGGCAGACCATGAAAGAAAAATCTGATCTTGAGGCTGAGAATTCAAAGTGTAAAGCTGAGAATGCTAAACTTAAAGCCGAAATAGCGAAATTAAGACATGACATCGAGGAAAATCAAACTACAAACCCGAGTTAATACTACGCGCTATATAATGCCTGCCCGTTGAGAAGGTCCCGCATGTCTATACGTGATTCACTTCGAGACATTTGTATAAGGATGAGACCTTCCGTCAAAGTTCTCTGGCAAATATCATGATGTTTGGCTAGCTTGAAGATAAAAAATCATCCTCCTCTTCTTCCTCGTCTCAAAAACAGTCAAAGTCAAAGCCGTTTGCAGTGTTTAAAAAAACGCGGTTTTACTCTTCTGCTGTGGGACAAACAGTAAGCATCACCAATAATTACAACAATAATAGAGATGCTCACGATTCTTCTCCATCAGTTGAACAATCATCTTCTTTTACTGACAGTGAACAAGGTTTTCTCTAGCGACATGCGCATTTATTTAGCATTTTCTCTCTAATCCGAAAAAATCGATACAGTAATATAATCTTGGATGCCCCATTATACCGAAGGAAAATGCCGGACCGGACGCCTTCATTATAACGGGATTGCCCTTGTATAATAAAGAGAAATGATGTAATCTAAATAGCAATAATATTAAATAATTAATTAAATACATTATTATTTCTTGAACAAATTTCTTCTATTTCTAGAAAAGAACTGAATTCAGCTCTTGCAACTTTATTACCGATGTTTGAAGCTATTTTAATGACAAAAGTTATTTTAATTGTTTAAATGGAGAAATGCATATACAAATAAACTCGAATTTTTTTGCTGCAACTACATGAAACCTGCGAATATATAAGTTACAAGTCTGAGTCAGCACCATATTGCGTAACTTCTCAAACATTATCTAGAGAAAAGAAATAAGTGCAATAACATCTTTTGAAAATTACAGCAATCAATTACCATACAGATTATTAGTAAATTGTATTTATTAAAGAATAAAAATATTCTCGAAAGGAGGTCAAAGGAGTAAAAATGTAAGAAAATGACGATGGTGATGAATGTTGTGATGAAAATGATGCGATAGAAGACGTCAAAATATAAGATTAAAATTAACAGCAAAAGATTTCGAAAAGCACTTTATTGAGTGCAACAGCTGAAAATCGGGAAACATTATGGGATAAGAAACCGGAAAGATTACAAACCAACCATACCTCTTCCATTCAATTGGTCTCGTTCCCACCTTGATCAACATTATTCCTTTCTTCCTCTTCTGTAACCCCATTTATCGCTTCATGAGTAGTAGTCGTCACCGTGTTTGAGGTCACTTGTTTTTCCGCGTTCGCGTTCTCGCTCTCTAGCCTAGCTCTTGTCCTTGTCATTCTTCTTGTGCCAAGACTCGGGTTAAAGGCTCGTTTTTTCCTTTTTTTATTCTTGTCTATAATTCCAATGACTGCCTGGCTTCCATCTCCAGCTATAGCAGATGAATCACCTTCAATTTTCTCTCGTTTAATTTTCTCATCGTCTTCTTTCTCCTTGACCTTTTCCTCACTACTATCCTGTTTTTCTTCGTCGTCTACTAATCGTAGGCCGAGTCCTCTTGTCACAATAAAAGGTGTCCATTTTAGATTTTCAGGTTTTATTTTTGGGTAGCCTTTTGAATCAACTTTCTTGAAATGGGCTTCGATACGTTGCTTGTCGATTACTAATTTGTATGAATGTGTCTCTGGATCTTTGACAAGTATGTCGTTTGTTTGCATTGTGGAAATCACATCATCGGGTGTCATACTTGTCCTTCGACTTAATTCTTTAATAATGTGAAGATTCAAATGTTTAATAGTTATATAGGCAAGGAATCATCAACGTTATCAACAATTTTTTCAAATCACCTTCAATACTAATAGGATCTTTGACATTCCTTAATTCTTCAAATATGATATTACGCCAATAGTTACGATAACTAAGAAGTCCAAGATCAGATAATGGTTTTTCGGGTGATCCGGTCTTATTTTCTTTTTTCGTTAGTAAATAACCTTTGAGTTGCATAAATATGTGACGAATTCAGAGTTAATAAAATGTATAATTGCTAATAATAATTACTACTAAGTATAATTTCTCAATATTTGATAATACTTACTAAAATCAATTAACAAGTTGCCATATCCTTTTCTTTGATGTATTGGCAACGTTAGAATGCAAGATACATTATAATTTAATGGGGACCGTTTTTCCTAGTAATAGCATTTAATTGATTATACTATTAACCATTTCAGCTTTTTTTCTCTTTCTCTTAAGATTGTGATATTATATGCTGATCATATATGTATGAAGGCTTAACAAAAAATACACACTTTGGAAAAGTATCCGACAAAGTGACATCCACTATCTGTGCATTCTGTCATTACGTAGAAGAGGAATGGCTCGACATCATAATATAGTGTTTTATGGTCTAAAAACATTTTAGCCAGCAGACACAAGTTCTGACAATAAATCTGCAAAGTAAAATATAGGATGAATTTCGAAATTAAATGTAACATAAATGGTATACACCTCTCTAACCTTATTCTTCCTTCCATCAACTTCAAATATCGAAATCTGATCGTCTCGGTAAATTTCATCTCCTGGCGGATGTCGCATAGGACATTTTTGCTATTTATTAATGTACAAACAATCATGAACATAATATTAGCAGTAATAAATAATAAAACTGAGTAGATTTAACAAAATTGAGTCAAACCTTATGCCTAGTTGCAACAAATTGGCTCTTCATGTATTTGAGACAAAACTCGCAAATATACAACACTTCATGTAGACTATACTCTTCAGGATACGGCGCGACGAACCATGTGTCAATTTCCCAATCACCGAACCGAATTTTTTGTATTTTGGGAGTTGTCTCGATAAAATCATGCTGTGTTTTCTCTTCTGTAGCTTGAGATTCAGATTTTGGATTTTTCGCCTTTAGTAATATAAAAGGAAAAAATTATATCTTTAGTAATAGGATTGGAAACAAGAATGAAAAATCATTTTCATACTTCTGCTTGAGTTTTAGCTCTTTCAAATTTAATTTTGTCATTTTGATCAGGCGTCGTTTTAGTTAAATCAGCTTCTTCTTCGGTCAATTTTCCACCAAATGGTAAATCGACTTCTATCTTTTCTTCATTTCCCTCTTTTTCTTTGCCTTTAGGTTCTTGACCGCCAGTCCCATTTAGTAATGCAGACGACGACGAAGAAGCTTTAACATCTTCCCTGTGATCCTCTTCATGTTGAAAATAATCAGACAATCCACCGAAAGAATCGATCGAAATTGCATCCTCATCTTCATCCACCTTATCTCGTTTCATTTTTAACTTTTTACTATTAGTGCTATTATTCTTTTCTTTCCTCCCATTTTGCTTATTTTTGGTAGATCCACGTCTATTCGGGGTTTTTCTACCTGTTTTTTTATTATTCGATGTTTCCGATGACACATTGTTGCTGTTGTTTTCGGTGAAAGTGTAGACGTCCATCGTGTCAGTCTCCATAAAGTCAAAACTCTCTGTAAGGTCTTCGGCTCCTGCGAATTCTTCGTCCTCCTCCTCCTCCTCTTCTTCGGAACCCTCTATTTTATCACTATCAGTTATTATTTCTTTGCTTACCGGCGATGGAAGTTTTTGAGTTTTCCGTTTTTTTCTCGGTAAGGTATTATTATTATTATTATTATTACTATTAGCCGATGATTTCCTTAATTTAGTTTCTTTAATATTATTGCCAATATGATCAGTGTTCATGTTGTCAACACCATTAGCACCAGCATTACCATTGCTTGCTGAACTCGTATTGTTGTTATTATTTACCCTCTTACGTTTCCGAGGTGAGTTATTAAAAGATGAAACAATCGTTGGCTGCTGTAGTTGTTCATCCTCTTCCATTATTTGTTGTTCTTCAAGTTGGTGGTGGTTGGTCTTATTGCTATTGTTTATCAATGAATCTACAACTGTCGATACTTTTACGAGTGTGGTGGCAGCCATGCAGCGTGCTCAAAAATTCGTCTTATGATATACAACTTTTTTATTGATTAACTATTTCACCACAATGCTCACGCTTGTAATTTCCCTATTTTTTAATCTATATAGAGAAGCTAGTTAAGAAAAACTTGCTAATATATTCCACAGGTTTTTAGAATTTCGTGTATGTGGCTTAGCCGCGGATTGTTAAATATTTTGATCTTTCATGCTCACGAGAACGGAGATTTCCAAAATAACAAATAATGCATCTTCCCATTTCACCTTTTTTTTATTTAATGATTAAAATTCATTGAATAACGATAACAGGGATAAAAAGAAAAGAAAAAAAATCTAATTTACTACAAGTCAAATCAAATTAAATAATTCATTTTTTAAAAGTATGCCTTTGTATCATCATCTCTAACCATTAAAAGAGAAAGATGACAATGCTAGAAATAATGTTCATGATGATGATAATCTTTCCCAAAACCAAAACGCATGAATTGTTAGCCTTTTTTTTAATTTAATTTTTATGCCTGTCGTCCTCTAGTTTCAATTGGTAGCAGTACCATAGAGACACCAGCAAGGCCAAAAAGTATAGCTGACACGAATAATGGTAGGCTGATGTTGATTGCGAGCAGTGCGCCGGTTATTACAGGAGCGATAATCCCAGCACTAGTTATATAACGAAAAATAATGAAATAATAAAAAAATTTGATTTAACAATTAGCATAACAAAATGTTAACAAAATGTTAACAAAAATGTTATTATCATCGCAATTAGACTTACATCCTTCCAATAGCAGAACTGATACCACACGCAGTACCTCGCAACTTCACTTCAAATACCTCAGGTGTGTACCCGTAGATTACGGCATAGTTGAGTGTTGCCAGAAAACTTACCATCGCTGAGGACAGAATAATGCTGGTGGATGATCTTACCGTGGTAAATAGAAATACGGCAAATGATGTCCCAAATGTTGCGATTGCCATCGAGCCTTTACGTCCCAGTGCACTTTCTATTAGATATGCACCAACCTTTTATCACCGCAAAAAGAAATAATTTTTAATTTTCAATTCTCCAAAAAAAATATGGAGGCAAAAACATGACACAATACCACAGAGCCGGGAACACCACATATCGAATAAATCAAATAGTCTCGAAGCGCTTCCTTCATTAAATTATCATCTTGATTCTGTGTACGCTCATCTTCAATACCCAAACTCTCCAAATACTTTGGCAAAAAAACATTAAATGTTGTGTATGCATATCCAACCAATCCCCAAATAGCCCATACCAACAACGTAGTTCGAATCCATTTCGGGGTGAAAAGAGGTCGCACAGAATGAAGCTTTGCCGAGACATGGAATTTCGTATAAGAAATAGGGTTTGAGCGAAATTCATATTTATCCTCGTACGAAAAAGCCACTAGGAATGGTGAGGAGTCATTAATAACATTTTGTGGAGACGAGGATATAGATGTCGCATTATTATGTGGGTCAGGTGTTGTTGGGAAATCACTGACATGTATTTGCATAGGGTTTCCATTGATTCGTGCAATTTTACGCAAGACAAGTACCGCATCATGTTTCCGATTGTTGGTTAATAAATATTTGGGTGATTCTTGCAGACGGAAAAGAAGGAGACGTGCTAAAAGCATGAGAAAAGTCTACAATTTTAATTAATATAAATATTATTAATCTATCATTTCTGTAGCATGGGAAATAGCACGTGAGAATAATGTTACCAAGGATCCCAAGATGGCCAGCATATACCGCCATCCGTTATTCTGTGTATTAACATCACAATTTTCCATTTTATCGCTTGTCTCGGGACAACTGTAGGGTGGTAATATTACATATGCCATCGACGAGGATAGAACCGCGCCAAACGAAAAAAATACCGATAAAAAGGTAAGTAGATATTGTTGTTCTTTAGGTATGAATTCTAAGAAAAGGGCACCTGAAAAAATACATGAGCATGTTCAGAATCTTCTCAACAAATAATACAAATAAAAGCCGATATATTACATTAACACTTACCATCAACAGGCATATTTCCGCCGACCCCAAAACCCAACAAGAGCAACATAACGCAAAGCTGCACAAAGCTCTGCGCAAGACTAGAAAACACGCCAAATAAGGCGGTCACTGCCAATGTGAGATTAAAAGCCTGCTTGCGTCCATTAGTGTCTGAGAGAACACCCCAGAAAAGAGCGCCAAACATCATTCCAATGAACACTGAACTTGATAAAGCTCCAATATAGCGATCAGAAACATTGAAATGAACTGTATTTTTATGTATTATGTATTGATAATATAAATTAAAAATTGTAAATGTTAAATGCATCCAATTTGTTTACACCACTAACCTTGAACTCTTGGTAATATGACAGCAATACACTTTTATTAAGAATTAAATTTTTAAAATGAATTCGCGATCGAGAAAAGTTAACTAAAGACCAAGGAAACTGTCTAGACGAATTACCTGCAGCCACATCTAATATCGACAAATAAAGGGTTAATATTGAACATATGAATTTGATGAAGCAGGGAGATTTCTTACATTATCAGCGAGCCATCCAAACCCACAAAGAACCTGAAAACACAGAGCAAAAAAATGATGTTACTGCTGCTAACCTGAGGCGCTGTTTATCCTCATTCACATATGTATTGGTTACCTGTCACAAGAATAATAAAAAAATATGCAAATGCTTGAAAATAAAGAAGAAACGAGCGAAAAAAAAAAAACCAATTCCCGAAGGAAAAATACATGCTTGCGTGTGTGTATGTGTACGTGTATCCGTCTCTTAAGGTATTTGACTATGCAATAAACTGCTGTAGCAAAATTATAAATACTAACCAATAACTGTTTTTGGAATTTCCCCATTCCAATTCGAGTAATGAATGCATCAAGAACCGAGTGCTTCTTTGCAGAGTCGTCAATTAGAAAACTAGAGCTGTCTGAGATACAGTCTTCTTCCGAATTTTTGTTAATATCTATCGTGAGTATTGGAGGAGGAACACGACCTTGTGCATATTCCTCGTCTTTAGAAGTGGATGACATTTATCTTGTATTATTTATTTTTTTCTGCTAGTTGCTTTGCTGCTGTCTGTTCTGAAGAACACTGAGTGATTCACCTAAGGTGAATCATGTAAAAAATAAATAGTATTGAAAGAGAGTAGTTTCTTAACCCGTCGACATATATATTTAGAGAATACGATAGTAATATAATACTGTGGCTTTTGTTTAAAGTTTTCCATGTATTATTAACCCGTTTATGTAATTATCAATTTTTATTTTTTGATCAACTGTGTACAGGAGGGGAAAATTATTGCGTAATTTTGGGTAACTCATTCCGTCACATTGTTATATTTGATTGAGTAACTGGCTCATGAACGTGAACGTGATCGTGAACTTTTTAATAGTCATCATAAAAAATTTTAATCTTCCCAGTTTCGGAAATTAATTCAATAAAAAAAATTGAACTTGGCACCTCTCCCGATAGTGATAGATATCCTACGAGTTGAAGTTGCATCAAAGTACCCGTTACACAAATTTTTTACAATTAAAATTTTTCATATAAAATTATTTTTTAAAACGTGACTTTGATATAAATATTTTGGAATTTACATTTATGAAAAGTAAAGCAAGTTACATATTGATAAAGTATCAATCGGTTTTACATAGACTTTAAAAGAATATTGACCAATATTTTCTAACAAAATGAGTATACGAATTTGGGAGCCATTGACATTCAAAGCAACCAAACCTACATCAATTAAAAGATGGGTACCGAAACTACGGACCTCGGGGACCCATCTTTAACGTCAAATTCTTTGTGATGAATTAAGCAATGACGTGTGATTGATAAACCACCACCCTGGGGGATCTTTTGTAAGGAGTGATTTACAGTTGCACGTGTACAATAATATACCCGAGTCTATTAGATTTGGGGGGGGGGTGGTTTATGACTATTTTGACATGCAGGATCGATCGAACAGAACTTTCGATATGACATAATTAAATACTATAATGAATTCCCTTTACTGATGACACTTCGGTTTCATCGATATCGTGAAAAGGAAGAACTCAAGATTCACATAGACAGTCAATTGACTCAAAAAATATTTACGGTATATATTATTTATACATATAATACTGTCAAATTATATGATTAGTAAGGAAAATTTTTTTGGTCTGTATACAAGATCTGAGTGATCTGAATGAAATGCAGCCAATTAAAGGATACTCTAATGAAAATTTATAGCACATCATATCGTAAAAATTATATTATCTATCGCGCGCTTGATTCTTTAAGAAAATGTCAGACCCCGAGCTTACCACTATAGTTTGGCGACATCCTGAATGGATTATGCAGGTGAACTAAGAAGAAAAGTTTGGTTTCGCTTAGATTTACCCACATTCTTGTTGAACTCAGGCTTCTCTAAAGATTTTTATTGTATGCTTAAATTAATCAAATAAATTTTATAAATCCAATCAATAAATTCTAGCAACCAAATGGTCTAAACTCGAATAATGTTCTCGATTATTTTTCAGAATCGCCTTTTTGGGAGAAACACTGTAATAATGCGACGTTAAAGATGCAGACGCAGTATAACGATTTGAAGGATCTGATGTTTGAGTTAAAGTAAATATCTTTTTGTTTTTATGATTTGATTGAATTGGATTAATTTAATTGATTAAATCGAGCTTATATTATTTTTATGGATTTTATTTGCTTGTTATAAAGGAAGATGAGGGGAATTGAATTCACAGTAGTTCATGAGCGTCCTCCGTTTCTGTGGATTATTCGTAAGCAGAAGCGGACAAATGAGTATGACGGTAAGTAAAGTTTTTATATTTTAATGTCAAATAAAAATTCTTAATTAATTTTTGTCTTTGGTTGAAATAATCAAGCAAAATTAAAAAAAGTACAAAAATTCAAAATTCAAAATCTTGAAAAAATAGTCATAATGTGAATATGATTATTTAAGAAAAACCTATTTGTTAGTAGGTAGTTTTTCTTCTTACATTCCACTTATCAATATTAATTATATTTAAATACAATTAATTCTCAACTTTATTGTATTTCTGTGTTTAGCGACACCTATCGCTACTTATTATGTGTACAAAGCTGAAGTTTATCAAGCACCCGACTTATACTCGATACTTGCTAATCGCGTGGTAAGTTATTTTTCATTGAATAAATGCAGTCATATTCCGAAATTAGACGAATAATATTGAATTTGAATTTTCCGCAGATGATAAGTCTCCGTTCATTACATATAGCATTTAATGCGTGTCATGATCAAATAGAATTTCACCCTGCAACTGGGTACACGTGGAAAAAAGCAGCATTAACCGAGTCGCAAGATTCAAATAATAAAGATGAAAATAGTAAGTTCACATACCGTAAGATGAAAGTTATTGGTCGAATTTTGTTAACAATATATGTTATTATTTACGCCATCAAATGAATTCATTATCCAGGCATAAAAATCATCGAACAGGAATCTAAAGAGGCAATCGACTTTCGAGAAAGCGCTCGACAATCATTAGAATGTGCAAATCAAAAGATATTAATGCGTCAAACCGCAGCAGTCCGTGCATTAGATAGTATGGCGAAGCAGGGTGGTCATGTTCAGTTAGAATCTGACGATGGGATAGGTTCTTCACGCGCTTCGTCCTCAAAATCAAGACAATTTATATGAGAAATTTTAATGTATATTGTCAAACAATTTATGAAAAAATTAAATAATAATAATTATTTATTTTTTTCTGGGTTTTATTTATTTATTTCAGTTTACCTATGAAGATTTTAAAAATTTTAATAATTTTAATGATAGTGATAATCGTAATAATAGTAATAATAATAATGATCATAGTAATGATTATTATTATTAGTATTATTGTTTAATAAAATACAAAAAATAAAAATCAAACATTAATTAGAAAATCATTTTAAGAAATTTTGAATTATATACACCAATAATATCAATTTACTCTGTATAGACCTGTGGATCCAGTAAAATATGGATGTGTAAGGGCTTGTTTTGCAGAGATACGTTTAGCTGGATCATAAAGTAACATTCGCTATCAACCAATTCACGGTGAAGAATAGACGTTAATGTTAATTTTATTTTGGTGGTGGTAATGTATGACTTTATTAGATTACCTGAAGAAGACCTATGCCATCCTCGTTTAAGGATGGAATATGTTTTGTCAAAGACTGCGAAGACCAAGCTGGATAGTTTGTTTTGAATTCAGGTAAACTGGTAACACCAGGCCACATATGTTCATCCGGAGTCCCGAGTTTTCTAATAACATTCCATATTTTCAAAACTTTGAAAATTTGCAGCTCATTAAAAGAATAAATAAACGCCTTACTGGAATATTTTGAATATTTCATCTATCTCAGAATCACCTATATTTAAAAATGATTGGTTTAAACGTAAGATTAAATCCGAAAGCAAATGACCAAACAGTACCTGGAAACAAAGGAGTTTTAAGGATCATTTCTGCGAAGATACATCCCACGCTCCAAATGTCTATATGAACAGAATATTGACGCGAACCAAGCAGGATTTCAGGTGCTCTATACCATAGCGTCACGACCTATCACCATCGTAATCAACGTCATTAGAATAAATAAAATTGAACTACGATTAATGAAATGAGCCAATCACATAACTTCTTACTTCATGGGTTAATGGTCGAAGTGGGACACCGAAAGCTCTTGCAAGGCCAAAGTCCGCAAGTTTCAAATTACCATCTTTTCCGATCAACAGATTTTGTGGCTTAAGATCGCGATGCAAAATCCGACGAGAGTGACAATAAGCGACACCATCAAGCAACTGATACATAAATTTCTGTGTTGAAAAGAAGATTTTAAAAAATCGGGGATTAGAGTCCATCAAAAATTTAGAAAATTCACAATATTTAAAATCGCTTACTTTCACAATATCAGGGCTTAGAAAGGCATTTTTATGCAAAGAATCTAAATAACGTTTCAGATCCATATCTAAATACTCGAACACCAGATAAAGTTTATGTTCCTCATATACAATATCTAAAAGTCTGCGCGCGATCGAAATAAAATTAGATGGTCGATCATGATGTTTACACCGTGAAAATTTTGGCAAAACGTGTCACGTCCTAAAATCAAACTCAACTGAACAATATTCTGACACTTGGTCTCTTTAAGAACCGAGATCTCTCGCATAGCTGTAGGTGGCACGCCTTCATCTTCAGTTTCAAGTCGAATTCTCTTCAAAGCCACTATTTGCCCGTTTTTTTTGTCTTGTCCTTTGTAGACCACACCGTATGTACCTATGGTTTGGTGAAGGATAATGAATAATTTTTATCCTCGAGTTGGAACAGGGTCCTTATACTTAAGTTCTTACCCGAGCCAATTTTCTCTAATTTAGAATAGTTTTCTGGTCCATCAATGATTTCTGGTTGTTTTTGATTGGCACCACCATTTTCACCACCATTATTATTGGCGTTGTGGTCTTTGTTATTATTCTCATTATTCTCATTATTTTCAATATTCTCGATATTATTGGTGGTAATAATATTATTGGTGTTGTTGTTGTTGTTGTCATTAATAACAATATTTTTATCGTTATTATTGTTATTATTATTATTCATAGTTAATTTCTCGACAAGCAATGCAAGGGTAATTAGTTAATAAGTTTTTTTTTCTAAAGCCACTAGTAAAGAAATCCTTTTATCAATTTTTTTTTGTTTGAAACATATTCGACGCTAAAAGATACAGGGGCCTTCCTTATTCATCAAAAAGAAAAGAAAGAAGGGTATTACGACACGCGATGAGTTGCTTGATGATCGACATTGTGTAAAAAGACGCGTTTTTTTTAGCATAAATAGATCAATTGGCAAGATTAATTCATCTTCTATTTATAAAATTGTTGGTTTTTTTTTGTTTATTTACCTATAAACCGTAGCTTCCAATCCTTTTTGCTCGCCGTGTTTTCCCTTTCTATTATTATCTATTATCTGTTACTCGAAAGTTCAACATGGAAAAATACGGATTCCCAATTCTGTCTTTTGAGGCCATTCAAACTATTTTAGCGGAAATGGGGCAACACATAGAAAAAGATGATATATCAACAAAACCCAATTGGGCTCGTCTTCGTCCGATATACGAATTTTTCTTGGAGGCGTGTCTGTATATTCCTAAAGACGAATACTTTCCGGCACCTGAATTTATTGACGGCTCTATAGAAGTGGGGGTAAATTAAGCTAATATTTCGCGAATAGAATTAATAGTAATTTTTTCGATTTAATTTTGACTTTTTAGCGTATATAAATAAATGTTAGGAGGTTGATGCCGAGGCGCTTGAATTATTGGCTTTTTTGTATCGATTGTACGTCAATTAGCACTTTGAGCTTCCGTGTAATTATTTCACATTTAAAATATGAATTATTAATCTTTATCGCAGGGGATGTCTTGCAGAAATAGCAGGAATCAATGATTTTGCTATTCGTGATTCTATCAAACCAGAACCTGGTCGTATTAGAAAAATTCTAAGTGGCATAATTAACTTTGCACGATTCCAAACAGGCAGACAGCCGCTGTTCGACGAATTAGAAGCAAAGCTTGTAGGTTTGGGTTTTGGTGATGATTTCTGTGTTTTATTTTTGTATATTATGAATTGAATACTTAAATCTTTTATTCAAATAAAAAGTTGGATGCACGAGAAGCAGTTGAAAAGGCTGCGGAAGAACAGAACGAACTTTGTAAAGTTGTGAGCGCCCTCGAGTAAATATTTTTATCTTATCAACGTTCACTCGCGGGCACAATTCCATATTCACCAGTTATATTTCTTCAAACATCGGTATGATTGATTTTTTTTAATTTAGATTGGAACGTAAAGAGCAAGAACCCGAATTAAAGAGACTTAAGGAAGCAAATAATAGCCTGACCGTGGACTTGAAGGAGCAGAAAAAACTAAATACTCCGTTAGTGAATGAGATAGAGTCATTAAAACAGAATAAGGATGAAATCACACATAAATTGGTATATGCATCATTTTACTATTTTATTTCTACGCTAGATGTAATGTTGTATTCATTTTCTTTTGATCATGTAGTCAAATATCGCTTATGCAACCGTGAATTTGAAACAAGAGATCGAAAGACTGAAAATGCGAAAATTGCCTCAAGATCCAGAGAAATTGAAATTGGTTTGTTAATTATTTGATATATTAAATGATACCATACTAATATCACTATTTTACAGTCGATTGAAAATATGAACGAATCTGTCAAGAAAGAACAAGAACTCGCGTCTCTACAAGATCGAAAACAGAGAGATGTTAAACGGAGATTAGATCTAGCAATCAGTCTACATGAGGTTTATGTTTTTTTGGGGGGGTTTTGGTTTATAGTTCAAGGATAATAACCAACTAATCGCTCCCTCATATAGAAAGCGAAATCATGTGAACAAAGTATTGAGGAAGCCGAAAACGAGATCAAAAAATGTGATAATGATAAACAAGCCAACCAAGAATTAAGCCAGAAACTTGAATCACGGGGGCTCGAGTTGTCGAATCTGCAAGCGGAATTGGAGGTAATTACGACTTTCTTATTTTAATTAATCTTGATTTTATAATTGATCGATCAAATATGCAGGTAAAAAAATTTACATCTTTTTTTTTATTTATGCAGAGACTGCGAATACAAGAAACAAACAATCGTGAAAAGTTGGATCATTATTTAGAACAGGCTAAAGAACGACTGCAGGAGTTGGAGGAAAAATGGGCCGAATCTGAAAATGCATATCAGAAATTAAAGGGCGAAGATCTTGAAAATGACGAGAAGAAATGTCATGAACAACGAGTTATTGAAGAGTTAGAACATAAGGTCTGTATATGTTTTAATATATATATATGTATATATATATATATATATATATATATGTATATATATATATATATTATATATATATATATACACATATAAATGGTACTTACTACCCAGCATTAAGCTTATGGTTTACATGTACCAAACATTATAATAGATCGCGTCACTGCATAAAGCTGAGGAAAAGAATCTAATTGAAATGACCAATCGTAGAAATGAGTTTGAAAATCAGGCTAAATTCCGATTACTCAATCTCATGTATAAAATGGATAATATGTAAATTTTTTTTGCTCTAATAAAGTTTTTTGAATTTATGATTTAAACCATTTAAAGAATTGTCTTTATTAGTGATACTCTACAAAAAATAAACTATTTCTTTCGAGGTCACAATATCCCCATTAAAAACCCATATCGGGTTTCGTTGGGGCGTTTATATCATATGACAATAAATACATGTGACAACAGCTGGTGTTCTACAAGAGTGGTTCTTTTGGGGAAAGGTCAGAAAAAAAAGAATCTTTGGGGGATAAAATTAGGCCGCCCGGGCGGCCAACACTAAGAATAATGGCATTGTTCATAAATATCCATATGACGCAAAGATGATGATGATTTGCCAAAATATAGGTGTTTTCAATCGTGGCAAAAAATTCTACGCGTTGTGAAACCATCATCTCATCTTATCTCCTGCATATAAAACACTGACACTTTTTTTAAATATTAAAAAACTGTTGTCAAACTAAAATAACAGTTTTTACAGTTAGTTGTTAAGTGGGATAGTAGTTAGTTACCTGTGTGTAGTAAGTAGTAGAGTATCTGGGCTCGTTAGTAACAACCGTTTGAGTCGAACAAACATTGTGGCAGTCGCTGTTTCTATTCCATAGTCGAGACGCAGATACGCGCCATATATACAAGTTTCGCAAATTAAAATCATACACTACCACAATACTCATTTTATCTTGAGTAGCAGCAGTTATCAATAATGCCCTTGTTTGTAGATTCAGATTTCACCGGGGAGGCTGGGCTGAGTAACTTGAAATATTACAAATACTCGGCGATCGACAAATCTCCGATAGCCAGATACGTATTAAAACCTTACTGGACGTGGGCTGTACGTTTATTTCCCTTATGGATGGCGTAAGTAACTATTATAGATCATTCTTGAAGACATTCGCGCATTTTCATGATCAATTACCCAAAAATAATATACTTATTAATGAATTTCTGTGTTTAGACCAAATTTAATTACTCTCTGTGGATTGGGTTTCGTGGTCATAAATTTAATATGTGTGATCTATTGGATTCCTGATTTAGTTGGTCCCGGTCCTTCGTGGTTATATTTTAGGTATGTGATTCGAATGATGCGTAACAAGCAGTGATGATGACATTGGTCAATGTCTCAATTGTTTTGAATCAACAGATATTTATGATAACAAAAATAAACAATCGTGGTTTTGGCGACAGAAATCTTAAAGACAGTCGAATAAATTAATTTATGTTTCACGTATTATTCCTTCAGTTTTGCTGCTGGTATTTGGCTATACTCCACATTTGATAACGTGGATGGCAGTCAAGCAAGAAGAACCGGAACTTCATCCCCACTCGGTGAACTCTTTGATCACGGTTGCGATGCATTAAATTGTTCAATTGGTGCAATTGTACAATCTGCTTCAATGGGACTCGGACATTCATGGTATTCGGCCTTCTTTTTGCTCTTAACTACCTTTCCTTTTTACATGTCCACTTGGGAAGAATATCATACCGGCACATTGTACCTTGGGTATATTAATGGACCTACTGAAGGCCTAATCTTGGCTTGTGGTAGTATGATATTATCGGGGATTTTTGGTAATTATAATTTTTATTTGTTTGTCTATTTAAAAGTCACCTTATTCATTAATGTTAATCTCATCAAAGGACCTCAGTTCTGGACGGAAGATCTTCGTGACTTGTATGGATCACATGTTCCTTCTTTTATTCCTAACGGAACCAAATACGCAGATATAGTTGTCATTGCAATGTCGATTCTTGTACTAGTTACACAGCCGCTAAGGTATGAGATTAATCAATGATATCGACACCACCATCATCAAATCCATCTAATTTCCCATAACTAATATTCATTTTAATATGTATCTTCATCCCAAAAAACCAGTTTTTACACCGTATACAAAGTGAAAAAGCAACAAAATCAATCTTTTGCCGCAGTTATCCCTCAATTCTTTTCTGTTCTTATATACTGGATTTGTGGATATTTATGGCTTGCATCACCTTACTCTTATATACTTAAGGATCAGCATTTTATTTTATTTGCACTGACTCTTGGCATTGTTTTCGGACGCATTGCGACAAAGATCATTTTGGCGCATGTGACAAAAATGCCGTTCCCGATGTATACAGTAATGATAATTCCTTTGGTGGTTGGCGCGCTCTTGACAAATATCCCTGTGATATTTAAGAGGTGAGAGTTTTTCTGTAATTTCTTCTGGAGGAAAATTAGATAATTCTTACCGAATTTATGGTGTACACAATCAACTAGTGAGCCTATTCTGACTCGACGTGGCGAATACTACTATCTCTGGGCATACTTCATTTTTGTCTCCATTGCATATCTGCATTGGGCACTTCTCGTGATCAACAGATTTTGTACATACCTAAAAATCAGTTGTCTTACTATCCCGCACAGGAGAACAGGTCCGCAGAAAATTCATTGATTTTTGTGTTCGATTGTCTCTCTACGTACTTTATCCTATATGGTACACACTTGTATTTGGAGTACGCGAGCTAATGTTTAGTATTTGATTTGATATCCATTAAATTTTTTATTTTATTAGTTTAATACCTAATCTAATATTTTTACCATATTGTAATATTTGAAATAATTCTAAATTTTTTATAATCTCTCTTTACATTAATATTCCCTTCTTCTCCCCATACATCATACACTAATTATAGACAATGAAGAGGAAGAACCGATTCTTTCTTAGAAACTTTAGATACACTACTATTACTACTTGTGCTAATAATATTCGATACACATAAAACATCCAAAAGACGGAATTTATAAACGTGCAATATCAATTAAATGTATTAATGATGCACACAGTCGAAACAGAGAAGTATTTGAAGAAACATCTTATATACACACAAATTTTGATTTCTCATTTTCACGTAAAAGATTATTAACATCATCAAAAAGTCGACCCTTTTTTTTTTATTTTGCCGGGTTCCTGTTTATAGCTGTCACATTTTAATAAAGAGTATAAAATTGGAGTCATTTCCTCCTTTTTCTTTTTTTTTGAAAATCGAAAAATTTTTTCGGACTGGATTCCAAACTTGCGTCGTCCGAGACAGAAAAGGGGCCGGAAATCACAGGATCGTTCGAATGGCTGCCTCGGACAGAATATTACAGACAGTGCTAATCTTAATTTCGAATATTTTTTGATGAATTATTTTTTGCACGCCTCCACCAATATTTTCTTTTGAAATGATTTTGTTTCTCGGACTATATAGTAGATTGTACCCTAAATTTTTGCCCACAACAAATTAACCCACTTATAAGAATTTCTTGATACGCGAAGTCACGTCTTTGACGCATAAAAGATAGCATAATCAGCCAATGTCTGTTTATGAAAGAATCTTGGACTGTGGCAACCGCTATAATGTGTTCCTGAGTTTGAGCTTGTATTCCAATTACGGTCACATAAATCCACCTTGAACGTTGGATCTTTTGCAATTGCGCCTTCTAATATTTTTCGATTAATGTAACACGACTATTAATCTCTCTTATAAAAGATTAAGCTCATCATGTGCGACATGTTAATAGTCCATATAGCTGTTAAGATCAAAGTAACAAGCTAGACGAATTATTTCGTGTACTCTGTATTAAATCTTTTCCTTGTATTGGCATCCGGAAAGGCGGTTGATTCAATATTGATGACTTATCGTTTTCACTATTCTCCAAATAGAATCTCTCTTCTCTAAGTGTTGGTGGAGGATCATATACTCGGAGAACTTTGTTTTTCATAAATGTAGTAAAAAAGTGACCATCTCTCAAACATCCCTCGTCCATTCGATTAATCTATTGTGCAGCAAATAACAAGACCCCGTCTATGTTCTTGGCAAGTATCATAATTTTCAAGCTGTAACAGACGAGTGTCCCAAGTGAAATAATAAATCAAACTAGCATTTTTTGTTTGAAGCAATCTCAAGTGGGTGGAATATTGGGAGGTAAACGTTTGCTCAAACGAAAATCAAGTATTATTCTGCACTCCGTATCTCTATTCCGTTGGTCATTGGGTCTTAGACTTACTATACAATGACGTTAGCTCTCGGAAAACAGCCTTGTGTCCTTTAATTGGAAAGGTTTGTGTTAAACGCATTACAATCTTTAATTTTCCAATCACTTCAAAGTGTCTTTTCTGGTGTCAATATTCATATTTTCTGCGGTAGATAATAGCGCCAGTTCGACATAAATCATAATTTGAAAGCTTTAAATTCGTTGGATAGTGAGTTTCTTTAGCATGTCATTGAATGAATGAGACGCGCGTTATTTTGAACAACAATGATTATATAATCCGATCTATTTTATAATCGATCGAGGCGGCATTCTAGATTCGCCGATGGTTCATGCAATCTCCGGACCCCTTTCTGCGCATCGAACCTGCTAGCCCCCAACTCAAATTATAGACTGTCTTATGTTTTTGGGCAAAAAAACCTTCGTAAACCATTTATTATTCCATATCCACAAAGCCTCGAGTGTGGTATTATTCTTTTCTTTGCGTCGACAACAGTATTGAAGGAGTAGTCAGCTTACTTTTGAAACTGAAGAAGGCCTTTACACATACTTCGTTATTGTCCTTCATCCGATCTTCAGTGCACTCAGAGTCTGAGCAAAATGTCGTATACAAGTATAGCTCGATCTTATGCCAATGTCAACCAGAACATGCCAAAGGAGTACTGGGACTATGGTATAGATCTATCTTCATTGGTTTTTCATGTTACTCACTAAGAGAAACTCCTCTTATTCGTCTCGATCTTGTTTCCTATTTTTATTTAGATAATTTGCAAGTTCAATGGGGGTACGTAAATTCTGACACTCGTGATCTCTTTTTTATAACTTTCCATGCTTGAAGTTGAGAAAGCTTTAATTACGATAACCGATGCTAATGATAATATTATGATTATTTTTAGTGTGCAAGATAATTACGAAATAGTGCGAAAAATCGGTCGCGGAAAATATTCAGAGGTTTTTGAGGGGGTAAACATCACGAACAACGAAAAATGTGTAATCAAAGTCCTTAAACCAGTAAAAAAGAAGAAAATCAAGCGCGAGATTAAGATCCTCCAGAACCTCGCTGATGGGCCAAATATCATTTCATTGCAAGATGTCGTGAGAGATTCACAAGTATGTTGTTGTTGAATGAAATCTCAAAAAATCAAATTCAAAAATTCCTTGTCACCATCATCTCTAGAAGCTTCATCAAGTCCATCCATGAATTCTTTAGTAAAAAATGGATTGTTTGCATGATGAGGCCCGAAGTAACAACATCCTTAATGTTTGTATTAATTAATTATTATATCTTCATTTTTTTATTATTAAAAATTATAAGTCCAAGACTCCATCACTTATCTTTGAATATGTCAATAACACCGATTTTAAAGTCTTGTATCCGAAATTCACCGATTACGATGTCCGTTTTTATATTTTTGAGCTTCTAAAGGTGTGTGTTTTTTTCGCTTGTGTATTGGTGGGGATAAGAAAATTATCGGACCATACTTCAGTGCAACATATATGCATATATATAACCTCTTTTTCGCATTTAGGCATTGGATTTTTGTCATTCAAAAGGAATCATGCATAGAGATGTGAAGCCTCATAATGTAATGATTGATCATGAAAAACGCAAAGTACGTATATCTTATCGTTTTTTGTTCCAGTATCACAACTCGCAAAAAAAATAACGTATTTTTTTTTCTTATGTGAATGATATAGCTGAGGCTAATAGATTGGGGTTTGGCGGAGTTTTATCATCCTGGCACAGAATATAATGTGCGTGTAGCTTCAAGATATTTCAAGGGTCCCGAATTGCTGGTTGATTTTCAGGAATACGATTATTCTCTTGATATGTGGAGCCTAGGTTGTATGTTTGCAAGTATGGTAGGTATCATTATTATCATTATTTCATTGACCAAATGATGATATAATTTTATATTTTACGTTTATAGTTTGCTGAATTCTATTTTTTTTAAGATCTTCCGCAAGGAGCCATTTTTCCATGGCCATGATAACTATGATCAATTAGTAAAAATTGCAAAAGTGCTTGGAACGGATGAGTTATTCGCATATCTTGACAAATACGATATAGAGTTGGATGCTCAATATGATGACATTTTGGGAAGGTAACGAAATGATGACAACACATCATTGAGTATTTGAAGCATTTAAAGGAATTCTATCTTTGCATCATAGATATCCACGGAAAGCATGGCAAAAGTTCGTCACATCAGATAATCAAAAATTTGTTTCCAAGGAAGCCATCGACTTTCTTGACAAGTTGTTACGATATGATCATCAGGTATAGTTCAATGAAAGCATTTGCTCGCATGACATCTTATACATTGCTAACAAATCTCTTTATTTTGTAGGAACGGTTAACACCAAAGGAAGCAATGGAGCATCCTTATTTTGGTAATTATCGATTTTTCTCGAGTTCCCTTATTTCACGAGAAAAAAAAAGCTAACTTTCATATTAACAATTTTAATGATAAAAGATCCTGTAAAACAAGGGAACAACAATCGGGCGTAGTATTATTATTATTATTACGTATAATCACCTATCGATTCCTTTGGCAGCATATTAAATAAAGCAAAAAGAGATAAGCAATACCAGATACATTTTTTTATGATCCCAGAAGAAAATTAATTTTTTGGGTTAATTAATTATTGATTGGCTGATTTTTCTGCATAATATTAGGAGCGAAAAAGTAGTAATTAAATATTGTTGGAAGCAAATAGGTTGTTTAAAGAAAGCAAAAACTTTTTTCTTTAGATTATTAGCATTTTGGTTTTACAACATAACTTTACATATACATACATACATACATACAATTACTTAAATTGTTCTTTTTGTGGTTCTTGGATTCGAATTGTTTGTACATAATATTTTATATTTATTATATTGCAAACTTTGGCGAAAAATTCCAAAAAAAAAAACGATAATAATGTAGAGCAGAAACCCCACCCAAAACTAATGAAATTTGTTAACTTTCTTATAGATCAATTTTTGAACAATCACAGAAATATACGTAATTGCTAGCAGGAAACAAATACACCTCACAGATCGTTACCAAGTTTCGAGAGAAGCGCATCATGAAATGATTTCCCGAATCTGGGACTCGCTCTGAATAATAAGGCGTTCATAGTTTCGAAAGGTTGATTGATAATTGGCAAGATGCGCTCTAAATCATCATTTGCCGACTTTTCATTATTTTCTTCTCGTGTTGCTTGAATTATCTTTTCACGTGAAAAATTATAAAGAAGCTGACAATATTAAAAATAATAAAATTTTGTCGTTGAAAAATAAATACCGTAAAACCAGCCTTGGATACGCCAATTTTAAGTTCAATGTCTTCCAGCAAGGTTAATTTAAACACTGCTCCATAAGTGTCATGTGTTGTTGCGTTTTTGGTCTTTGAAGTACTCAGAATTTGAATAGAATTCGGTTTTATTCCATACTGAAATTCTTTGAGAATATTAGAAAGTTCGTTAGCAATGAAAATTTCATCGTTTTCATCATCGACGATAAATGTTTTTGTAGACATGTGATCAAAGTCAGCTTGAGAATGAAAAGATGTTAATAATCAATAAGCAACAATTCATAAGAAATTAAAACATGATATTTCAGCATGCTTCAAATGTATGTACACTCTTTAATTTTCTAATTCAAGCGGAATAATATATAATACAATTGATTGGAAATAAATAATAAGATCAACTAAACGATATTTGCAATTTCCAAAATTCATGCTTAAATGCAAGCTTGCTATTAAATTTTACTCCAAAAAATTGTTTGAAATTGCATAAATTATATCCAATCTTTAGGAGTCTTTAAAACTTCAACCAACCGTTCCTCAGAAGAATTTGCTGAAGGCGAATGGTTATATCTCCAAGTAGCAGTCAATGGTAAACTTGCGAGGATGCTTTCAATCCTCGACCCAGGAGTATGCAGGCCAAATTTTGTGCCACGATCCCAAACGAGATTAAATTCCACGTAACGACCTCTTCGTAATTGTTGCCATTTCTTTTCTTCATTTGTGAATGGCATATCTTTACGTCGTTTCAATATTGGTATATAAGACGGTAAGAACCCTCTTCCGCAATCTTTTACAAACTTAAAAAGTTCCTCGGGTGATTTGTCGTCTAAATCGTCGAAAAATATTCCGCCAATTCCACGCGCTTCTTGACGATGCTTCAAATAAAAGTACTCGTCACACCACTTTTTGAACTTCGGGTAATAGCTGAGATCGTGTTTGTCGCATACGCCTTTCAGTGTTCGGTGAAAATGCGTAGCATCCTCGTCGAATAAATAGCTGGGCGTGAGATCCGAACCACCACCAAACCACCAAATTCTAGGCGTTCCATCCTCATTCCCGATTTCAAAATACCGATAATTTAAATGCACGGTAGGTGCCATTGGGTTGTGTGGATGAAGAACAATAGAAATCCCAGACGCGAAAAATGGGAATGGCCCATCTGCCGGATCAAGATCTTTATTTCGAGACTTCATTTGAAGGACAGCGGCGGTCGGAAGTTGCCCATACACAACAGACACAAGCACGCCAGCTTTTTCAAAAACATTTCCTTCTTGCAATACACATGAAATTCCGTCGCCGCCTTCTGCTCGTTCCCATGTATCGATTTGAAATTTTTTCCCGTCGATTGCTTCTAATTCTGAGACAATTTCTCTTTGCAATGATTTCACAAATTGTTCCATACGAAGTCGCATTGGTGAAGAATCTGTTACTTCTCCTGTCAATCTCTTATTATGTTAATCAAACTCAAATTCAATGCTTGCAAATAATGGTTGAATTCAATAACAAATAAAAAGAAATACTTTACAATTCTGATATCTTGGTCAAGAGCACTGCATTCGACTTTATTTTTGAGCTTAGAAGAAAAGAGGTATCATTGATCGTTGGGTGAAGAGTATGCACCTAATTTATTCAACCTTCACTTTTACTACACCACTTTTAACTTACCCCCAAAGTTTGGTATTGATGATAGTAGATAAAACCACTCAATGCACCTGCAGCCAGTAAACCCCATGGCAGGAGGTTTATACGTTTATTGAAACTAGAAGAAGCGGCGGATTGAATGGACGAACTGCTAAAATTCGATAAATTTCGTAAAAGCCCTTCAAAGAAAAGTAATTGACATAAATTTTCTTTACTATCTGTTAGATTTGAGTATATAGAAGGAAGCCTCTACCAGTTCTTAGAACGGAAGCACGTGTTGCTACGCGAAACATTCTGTGCCTTTTTTTATAATCCACAAAAATCCAAAAATTGGTTTTTTCACATAATCCACGTGTTTGGTCAGACAGTTATACAATATCGATTCGAAAGCCTCGAAATTCGAGTTTTAATATTTTCTCTTGAAGTTTAGCATCCTTTTTTTTTGACACAGTAGCAGTATGGCTGTGAAAAACACGTATGTTGCTCTTTACAATGTGTATAGTTTTTCTTTTAGGTTAGCATTAATTTTTCCAATGTTTATTTCAAAAGTGACTTGAAACGCGAGAGTATAGAACTTCTCATGGACACTTCCTCTAAAATTACAGAGACAAACAACAACAATACGTCTTTTTCAAGTAACGAAGCCCTTATTCCAAAATTAAAGACATCGACACCATCTATTGGTCAACTACCGAAAAATGTGGTCGCTATTTTTGTGGTACGCTTTGATACTAAGCATGGAAACACCATTGAATGGCAGCATCCTAAAGGTGATTTTTTTAGAATTATTTGTATTCTTGAAGATTACAATGAAAATTCATTATATCTTTTGTGAACAGATTTTGACCTTAATGGCGTGGAATTTTCTGCAATGCCAAGCGGATTACATTTAATGAAAAAAGATATCATGTATGTAGATATAAATATATTTTTTTAAAAGGAAACTCTATAATATTCTCAATATCTAATTTTATCATTTCTTATTTCATATAGATATTTTGTAAGACCTCCATATATCGGTCTGAGCGTCTACGAAAACGTCCCCACCTTTGATCAATCCCAAGACCGTGGTGCCCACATGGCAGCCGTAGGAATACTAGTTACGAAAACATCTGAAACAGAAATATACGGTCAACCATGGAGACACGTGGAATTTTTACAGAGTCAGGTCAGGTCAGGTATTTGCGCATAAAGTAAAATCAATTATTTATTCTTTAGAATTTTTGAAAATATTTTGTCTTTTACTCATTTTTTTGATGATGAAATATTATTTATTATATAGACAACATGTAAACGTTTCAAGTGACTATTCTGTATTAGAAGGATTCTTTAGTGAACATGGCTGTTTGAAAAATAATCATGGTAATGATAATATTATTAGCAGATCATTACTATCATCTTCATCACCACGTCATTCATTGAAAAATACATATTTTTCAGCGTCGATGATGACTGCCATTGGCAGTAACGGAATAATCAATGATGAAATCTCTTATCTGAATCATCAGGAATTGTCAAATTCGGTAATAAAAAATTTCATAACTCAATTTGTTTATTGGTTATTTATTAACCCTAATAGTCCAATATAAAAATTTCTAGCCTTCACATCCTGCTCACCATTTCTCGAGTTTTATACAATACTTTGGCCCTTCAATCTTTGTTCTTTGGAAAGCGGCCATACTAAATAAACGTATACTGTATTATTCAGCACCACCTGTTGAGACTGGATGTCATTTTGGTTTGTATCCTATGATGTACATTTTTAAAACAGAGAGATATGTATTATTATTTTGATTTTTTAATTCATGATTCATTAATTTATATAAATGTTATTAGTATATGGTACTTGCCAATTAGTAAACTTTTCTGACAACATCAAGCAAATAATACATGGCGGAGACGGAGCAGAAAAAAATCAACTGCAACCGTTGTTTAATATCGGCGTACATGAAATCGACATGATAAAATCAATGAAAAATGGGGTTGTGGCATGTAAGCAGACATTTAATACACATACAACTTATCGAATTTCTTGTAAGCTTTTAGAGATTCAGTCTTTTTTAAATTACTATATACAGGTACAACAGATCGAATATTCCAAAGCAAACAAAACTTGTACGACTTACTAATTAACTTCTCGTCAGAGACCGCAGAAGCATCATTATCAAACACCACCTCTTTCTCATCAGCCGCCACCACATCAAAATCTTCTCCATCATTTGTTCCCTCACCTGATCCTTCATCTTTAATGCAAAAATTAATCACTTTAAATTCGGCCGATTTTCAACGTTACCGTGATTTGTCAAAGTTGCTTGGGCCACATGGTGACAACAATAGAGAAGAAGAATGGAGGCAGTATAGTCTGATAGAGCATTGGCAGAGAATATTAAATAACTGGCTTGGAGGATACGGAGGCGGAAATACTAGCAATATAGGATACCTAAGATTGAATAATATCGATGACGAAGATGGAGATGAAGCAAGAGTGTCTCGAGACATAGCTGAAGACGGAACATTCAATAGTCTAACGACGATCGTTCCGCCAAAAGATGCACATGACATTGAAATTGAACTGACAAAGTAATTAATTATTAATTCGTATTTTCTCTATTATAACTTTCATTAATAAAATCTTATCTACGCAGCTATTTCAACACGTTGACATCGAATCTTCTCAGTGAACTAAATTCTATGATCACCACGCTGAGCGTTTTCGAATCCGACGATGATCATCTTATTTCCATATACCCCGAACACATGAGCACATTGGGATTAGACGCACGAGCGGATTGTCTATTCATTAAAGAACTTTGCAGAATTTATTTTGGAAAAGAAGTTCAGGTGGTTGGAACTGGAAGTGGTCGTGTCATCGTTGGGAATGAGGGCATGGTCGAAACTAATGTACTCTATACTCTATATGATACTTTGTGTATGTTTGTGGAGATGGTGCTTCGTTGCTTTCGAATATGATGCTAATCTAAGCTATAAAACAATTCGAAATTTGGGTCTGGTTCGAGATCGACCCACAATAGTAATAATTGTAATCCTAAACCAGGATTACAATTCTGCTTAAAAGCATAAAATATATCTGCTATTCAAAAATTTTGACAGAACTAAAATATTTTTATTTGAATAATTATAATTTAATATTCTAAATACAATATATTTTTATAAATAGCAATATTTTATTATAGATTATTTTTATGAAAATTATAGTTTAAAAAAGAATTATAATTTTGCTTATAAGTATAAAAAATATTACTATTTAAAATTTTGACTTTAAATAAATATTTTTTATTTAAATAATTATAATTTATCATTAAAAATAAAATATATTTTATAATTAGAAATACTTTATTATAGATTATCTTAGTAAATTAGTAGCTTTAAACAAGTTTTATAATATTACTACTTATAATTACTTTATTAAAAAATTAAAAATATTATTAAAAAACTAAAATTTTTTAATTTTTAATAAAAATAATTTATTTTAAATATCAAATATTTCAGATACTAATTTTTTGTTATATAATATCTTAAATAAAATTATAATTCAGAATTTAAATTATAATTTTACTTAAATTTATTATAATAATTAAATTTAAACTTGAGTCAGACTTGATGTAACAATTTTGATTGGGTTATTTTTCCTTTAGCTTAGATCTTCATTTTGTACTATCTGTATAACAGATTAGCTTTGTATCACATTTTTAAGAAGATCATTTTCACTCTGAATATACAGATGATCATTATATATTTAATACATCTAGATTTAGCATATTATTACTTAAATGATTACTATGTGTATCACAATTATAAATTTAGATTATTAATATTTTAATTAATTATTTCTTTTAATAATTCTTTATTTTCTTACTCATTCTCTTTTATTATTATTTATATCATTATTTATTATTATTTATAATTATCATTAATTATTGGATTATGATTAGTTGCTCTTCAGAAACATGAATTAAATTAATTAATTCTGTTCAATCATATGTATTTTAAAATAGATTTCATTATTAATTTATTTACTTTTTGTATTTATTTCTTTCACTATAAATAAGACCTTTCTGTTCTATAATTTTCTTTCAGATCTGAATACTTATAAATAATAAAAATAATTATAAGTTATAAAATTAAAACTTATTCATATTGCATTTTATCTTATTTACAATCATTAACAAAATAATCTTATAACTTGATAATAGCAAACACGGTTATTATAAATATTATCCTCTAATATCTTACACTTACACACTACATATTATATCACACATACACATATTTTAGTTTTTAATAAAATAATATTTTATCAGAATGAACCCAGAACAATTCACACAATTCATGACAAGCATGACTGAATTAATCAAGACAATAAAAAAAGATGATCCTTCTGGTTCTAAACCTTCACCTCATCTCTCAATTAAATTGCTAACTTACTTAGAAAAGCCAAATGAAAATGTACTTGTCTGGATTATGCAAGTTAAAACAATATTTCAGGTCTAGAGAATCACAGATAAAAAAACTCAAATATAATATGCTATCACTTCCTTAACTGATATAGCTTTATATTGGTATTTCAACAAAGTTAAGATAGATGATAGTGTTGAACTCTTTGAAAATTAACAAGCTTTTATTACAGTCTTAAGAGAAGTTTTTCAATTATCATATTATCAACAATATCTCTGTAGACAACTTCATTTTCTTTGTCAAACAGGATCTGTACAAGACTATAATACAAAGTTCAGAAATATAGTTAGACAAATTACAGATATGAGCACTTTAGACCAGATCACATATTTTATAGAAGATCTAAAACCAGCTACAAAGATAAAAATAAGTTATCAGGCACCAGAAACATTAGAAGAAGCTTGAAAGTTAGCCATTTGTTATAACATAATAATGTATAGATAAGGTAGATCTCTAGATTTATCAAGCAGAAATAATAATAGTTATCGCTCACAGAATCAACACAAAAGTTACTAAAATAATGGTTCAATACCAATGGAACTTGATCAGGCAGAAAGTCACTATAATAATAAAAAGAATAATAACAATCAGAAGAATAATAAGTTCAAAGACATATGCTATAACTAAGATTACTTCACTAAAAATTGTTATTCAAAATCAAAGATCAAAATTGTAAATATTGAAGACAAATAAGAAGAATCTTCATATGAGAGAGTTGAATTCACTCATCTTGAAGATAAAAGAGAAAGACTTTTAAAATTCAATGATCAAGTAAATGGCAAATCAGCATGAATATTGCTAGATAGTGATGCTTTAAGAAACTTTATAGATGAAAAATTTATACAAAAGAATAAAGTGAAATTGCAGAAGACTATATCAGTTACAGTTGAACTTGCTGATGACAAGAAGATAATTACTATCATCATGGCAAAGATTAATGAATTAAAATTAGATATCTATAGAATGTACAAAATGAATACACAAGTTTTAAAGTTGTAGAGATATGATTTCAATCTAGGTAAATCTTGATTATTTCATGCCAATCTCACTATAGACTGGAGAAATAATATTATAACCTTTACCTATAGTTTTAAGATAATAAAAGTGCAAGCTAACAATGAAGTTAAGTCAGGCTCCAGTTACAATTTAATATATATTTTAAGACAACAAATTACAAACTTATCAGCAGATGTAAAGCTCTTTACTATATATATCAACAATGCTGAAGATAAAGAAGAAGCCAAAGAAAAGTTACTTTTACCAGAAGTACTAGATATCAAAAAAAAATTTCAAGATGTATTTTCAGAAATCTTGTTAAATTAACTATTACCTAAAAAAATAATTGATCATAAAATTAACCTTATTTGAATCATTATCCAGACCCACTTACAGACTTTCTTTCACAGAAATGGATGAGCTCAAGAAATAATTAGCTGATTTGATACAGAAAGATTTTATTTGTTCTAGTATTTTACCTTTTGAAATATTAATTCTTTTTGTACATAAGAAAGAAAATACATTAAGATTATGTGTTGACTATAGAGCTTTGAACAAAATCACTATCAAGAATCACTATCCTTTACCCAAAGTTAATGAGTTAATAAACAGACTCACAGGTTTAAAATACTTTTCAAAGCTAGATTTATATTTAGGATTATCACCAAATTTGCATTGCAAAAGAAGACATACATAAAATAGCATTTAGAACTCACTATGAACACTATGAGTTCTTGGTCCTACCCTTTGATCTTACCAATGCATCTACCATCTTTATGACACTCATGAACAATATATTTCATGATTATCTTGATAAATTTATAATCATTTATTTAGATGATATCTTGATATATAGTAAAATAAAGAAAGAATATATTCAACATCTTCAGACTGTCTTAGAAATACTTCACAAACACAAACTATATATCAAGTGGAAGAAGTGTGATATTATTTAGTAGTATATAGAATATCTTGAATACTTCATCTCAGCAGATGGTATTTCTGTTAATCAAAGAAAAATTACTGCTATTAAAGATTGGCCAGCACTAATAAATATATCAGAACTTCGCTCATTCCTAGATCTTGCAAGTTATTACAGAAAATTTGTGAAAGAATTTTTAGTAACTGCCTCACTATTCACAATACTCCTATATAAAGATCAAGAGTATGAATGGTCTACAATAGCGCAACAAGTTTTTGAATAATTAAAGCAATATCTCACCTCAGTACCAGTCTTATTATTACTTAACCCAAAACTACTATTCACAATCATCACAAATATTTCAGATTTTGCTATAGGAGCTGTGTTAAGTTAAAATCAAGACAAGAATGATCAACCAATAGCTTTTGAATCAAGAAAACTTTCATCAGCTAAAAAAAATTATCCAGTTCATGAAAAAGAATTACTTGCTATTGTACATGCAATCAAACTCTGGAAGCCATATTTTGATGAACAAAAGTTTACAGTTATTACAGACTATACCTTCTTGGAATATATTAAAATACAATATAACCTTTTCAAAAAATAAACTTGCTGGTTAGAGACTTTACAGACCAGTAATTTTGAAGTTAAATATAAATCTGGCAAAGATAATATAGTAGCAGATGCACTGTTATACCAATTACATCTGGCAAATATTTTAGTTATTATCACCAATCTTGTTAATAAAGAAGACTTGATAAAGAAGTATTAAGCAGACAAATATTTTGCAGAAATATATAAAGTCTTGAAGAACTTTAGTAATGCCAATCCAAAGCAACAAATTAAAGTAAAGAACTTTGAATTGAAAGATGAATTATTTTACTTGAAGAATATCAGTCACTTAGCTATATCAGATAACAAAAATTTGAAAGCAAAAATCTTGTTTGAATTTCATGATACATCAATAGCTAGATATATTGGAATTGACAAAATATATGTAACAATCTCTCAACAGTTCTATTGGTCAAAGATGAATAAAAATATTCACAAATATATTATCAGTTGTGAATCATATCAGTGCAATAAAAGTAGTAATCAATAATTTTCAGGATTATTATAATCTTTAGCTATTCCAGAATATAGATAGGAATACATCATCATGAACTTTATAGTATAACTTTTAACTATCAAGTCTGAATATGATATTATAATAGTCTTTATAGACAAGCTATCAAAAAGAGTGTATTTCATATCAACTATAACAATAGTAATAGCATCTGATATTGCAAAGATTTTCTTTAAAAATATCTTTAAATTGTATGACTTACCTATAATTATAATATCAGATAGAGATGCAAAATTTACAAATCACTTTTAGAAATCACTTTTTGAATAACTAGATATTAAACTTGTTATATCTACTGTCTTTCATCCTCAGATAGATGACCAGATAGAAAGACTTAACAGAATCTTAAAAGAAATGTTAAAAATATACACTACCTATCAGTAAAACAGATGGGATGAAAACTTAGTAACTGCAGAATTCACTTAC